AGGTATACATGGAGATACCACCAGGATTTGGTACAGATCAGACAGTGGGAAAGGTCTGCAGATTGAAGAAGTCTCTCTATGGTCTGAAGCAATCTCCCCGTGCTTGGTTCGACAGATTCAGAAGGGCTATGATTGGTATGGGATACCAACAGATCAACGCCGACCATACAGTGTTCTTTCGACGGAGTGGAGGCCACATTACTATGCTTGCGGTATATGTGGATGATATGATTATTACAGGGGATGATGAGAAGGAGATTGCCCAACTCAAAGTGAGACTGGGTAAGGAATTTGAGGTGAAAGATCTTGGCTTGCTTAGATACTTTCTTGGAATAGAGATAGCTCGAGGAGCGGAAGGGATCATCCTATCCCAGAGAAAGTATGCACTGGATCTTCTCAAAGAGACAGGAATGTTAGGGTGCAAACCTGCAACTACACCGATCGACCAGAGGTTCAAGCTAGGTGCTGAGGCTGGAGAACCAGTTGATCGTGACAGATATCAGAGGTTGGTGGGAAGGCTGATCTATTTGAGTCACACACGTCCTGATATCTCCTTTGCAGTAAGCGTGGTGAGTCGCTACATGCACGATCCGAGGAAGGGTCATATGGACGCTGTGTACCAGATTCTGAGATATTTAAAGAGTGCCCCCGGAAAGGGGCTGATATTCAGAAAGAATGGACATGTGAACATCGAGGGTTATTGCGACTCTGACTGGGCTAGCTGTGCTGATGACAGGAGGTCCACCTCAGGATATTGCATCTTTATAGGAGGTAACTTAGTCTCGTGGAAGAGCAAGAAGCAGTCAGTGGTGGCGAGATCGACAGCCGAGGCAGAGTATAGAGCTATGGCCTTAGGAGTTGCTGAGTTGCTATGGTTGAAGAGTATGCTGGTGGAGCTGAAGCTGGATCAAGGAGATAAGATGAAGTTATGGTGTGACAACAAGTCAGCTATAAGTATTGCCAACAACCCAGTGCAGCATGATAGAACCAAACACATCGAGATCGATAGGTTCTTCATCAAAGAGAAGTTGGATAGTGGACTACTGGAGCTAAGTCATGTTTCGACTAAGGACCAGGCAGCAGATTGTCTGACTAAAGGACTCAACTCAGTAGATATGATTAGAGGATGTGACAAGATGGGCTTAATAGATATCTTTCGCCCATCTTGAGGAGGAGTGTTGACATATTAGTATTATTAGGGACTTATTTGTAAGATTTGTAGGGGCCTATATAAAGCCCAAGAGATATCATAATGAATTAAGGTTTTCATTTCTTCAGTAACAAAATTGAACACAAACGTATCAAATAAAAAATAAATGTAACTAAATTAATAGCTAAAGGTAACAAAATTCAACACAAATGTATGGAATAAAAAAAAAAGGTAACCGAATAAAGATGAAGGTTCATAGCCAAAGTGATGAAACTCTAACTAAAACAATAAACAATAATAATGGTGACCAAGATAAAAATAGCAAAAACATGTTAAAGATATGAAGTTAAACACAACGGTATCAACTCATAGCTTAAAAGTGAATAAAGTTCAAAATGACGATAGCAGTTTATAACTAAAGAGGAGAAACTTCGCTACAAAATGTAAGGATTTATAGCTAAACTGGACAAAGTTCAAAAAAAAAGTAAAAAATTAATAGGTAAAGGTAACAAAACTAGACGAGGTATCAAATAAAACATAAAGGTGACTAAATTAATCAAAGGTTTATTGATATAGTAACTCGACCTTGAGATAACAAAATCTAAAGGTAACAAAAATAACAAAAATATGCTAAAGATTACAAACTTGATATAAAGATGGGAATTCATAACTAATGGTGACAAACGTTCAAAATAAAAATAATAATTGATAGATAAAGGTAACAAGGATCGACAGAAAGGTATCAAATAAAAAATAAAGGTAACTAAATGAGTTGCTAAAGGTAACAAAACTCAACACAAATACATCAAATAAAAAATAAAGGTAACCAAATGAAGAAAAGTTTCATAGCTAAAGAGACGAAACTTGAACTAAAAATAACAAAATTTAATGATGTCCAAGATAAAAGGTAACAAGAAAATGCTAAAGATAACAAGTTAAACAAAGCGGTAGCAACTCATAGCTTAGGGTGACAAAAGTTTATAATAAAGATAACAACTAATAGATAAAGGTGACAAGAATCGATAGGGTATCAATTAAAAAAAATGTAACTAAATTCATTGCTAAAGGTCACAAAATTTAACACAAAGGTGTCAAATAAAAAATAAAGGTAACCCAATCAATTGCTAAAGGTAACAAAATTCAACACAAATGTATCAAATAAAAAAATAATGGTAACCAGGTTAAAACAATGGTTCATAGCTAAAATTATCAACTCGAACTAAAAATAATAAAATCTAATGGTGACAAAGAAAAAGGTAAGAAAAATATAAGATAGGTAACAAAAATCAACATGAAGGTATCAAATAAAAAATAAATGTAACTAAATTAATTGTTAAAGATAACAAAATTTAACACAAAGGTATAAAATAAAAAACAAAGGTAACCAAATTAATTGCTAAAGGTAACAAAGTTCAACACAAATGTGTCAAATAAAAAATAAAGGTAACTAAATTAAGACAATGGTTCATAGCTAACGTGACAAAACTCAAACTAAAAATAACAAAGTCTGATGGTGACTAAGATAAAGGTAACAAGAATATAAGATAACAAGTTAAACACAAAGATAGCAACTCATAGCTTAAGGAGATAAAATTTCAAAACAAATATAGCAATTAATAATTAAAGAGGACAAACTTAAACAAAAACGTAAGGATTTGTAACTCAAAATAGCAAAGTTCAGAATAATGATAGGTAATAGCTAAAGGTAACAAAACTTGACACAAAGGTATAAATAAGAAATATAGGTAACTAAACAAAATCAAAGCAACTCAACCTAAAGATTTCAAAATTTAAAGACAACAAATATAAATGTAACAAAAAATATGCTAAAGATATAAATTAGACATAAATGTAGCAATTCATAGGTAAAAGTGAAAGTTCAAACTAACAATAATAATTGATAGATAAAGGTAAAAAATGTCACGAAGGTATCAAATAAAAAATAAAGGTCACTAAATTAAGTCAAAGGTTCGTAGGTAAAGCAACTCGACCAAAAGATAACAAAATCTAAAGGTAACGAAGATAAAGTAACAAAAATATTTTAAAGATAATAAATTAAACACAAATGTAACAATTCATAGGCAAAGGTGAAAAAAGTTTAAAACAAAGATAACAACTGATAACGAAAGGTAACAAACTTCAACACAACAAAAGTATCAAATAAAAAATAAAGGTTGCTAAATTAAGTCAAAGATTCATAGGTAAATTGACGAAACTCGACTTAAAGATAACAAAATTTAAAGGTAACAGTAATGTGCTAAATATAATAAGTTAGGCACAAAGGTAGCAATTCATAGCTAAAGTTGACAAAAGTCAAAAGAAAGATAACAAAATTTGACATAAAGGTATCAATTAAGAAATAAAGGAAACTAAATTAAGCCAAAGGGTTATAGTTAGAGTGAGGAAACTTGACCTAAATATTACAAAATCTAAAGGCATCAAAAATAAAGATAACCAAAACAAAGGTAACAAAAATATGCAGAAGATAACAAGTTTGATAGAAAACTAGCAACTCGTAGCTAAAGGTGTCAAAACTTCAAAACAAAGATAACAATTGCTAGCTAAATGTGACAAAAATTGACACAAAGTTTTTAAATAACTAATAAAGGTAAACTAAATCAAGTCAAAGGTTCACAGCTGAAGTTAGAAAACTCGAACTATAAATAACAAAATCTAAAGGTGATAATGACAAAGTTACCAAAAATATGTTAAAGATAACAAGTTAGGCACAAAGGTAAGAATCTATATCGAAAGGCGACAAAAGTTCAAAACAAAGGTAACAATTTAAGCTAAAAGTGACAAACTTCAACACAAAGGTAATAAATAATCGGTAACAATGACAAACTTTGCCACAGAGATACTTATTCATAGCTAAAGGTGACAATGAAGTGGATGCATGAATCTGTTGGTCCTATTAAATGTGCGTTTTTCTAAACATTCATATCTACTAGAAGCGGCTAATTCTCAGCATTTATTCTGATTATAATGCATCAGCTAAAAGAAAATCAGAGATTTAAGCAGAATCACTTCAGAATTCGCAAAATGGTAGAACCTCCCACTTAACCTGAAAGCTAAGAGTACTAGAGACAAGATCTCCCACGTTATTCTCCTATCTAGAAGAGAATCTCTGAAAGAAAAGAGAGATTAAAAAATTTCAACGATATCATAGAGAGCACAATACGTCAACATTTTCAACCGATCTGTAGCAATAAAAATATTAGAAGCCTATTTTTAGAAATAGCAAGGATAATCAATTGAATCAACTTTCAGATTTATTTTATTTTAGCACAGAACCAATCATATTCCATGAAATTAAATGTTGCGTCATTTTCAATTCTACTTCAATTGAAACTCGATTGCTAATTTATCCTCTGATTGTCACTCAAGAAATACTACGTGCAACAGCAGAAATAAAATTAGAGATCTAACATCATAAAATCAGAAGAAATACTGAACTGCATTAGCATAAAATAAAACAACCCTAACTTGCTCAACTGAAGTGTAATAAAGAAGGCTGGAAGCCTAATTTTGAATAACAAAAGCAAAATCACAAGAATTTCCATCACTTTGTCTGATTTAACACAAAAACACTTTAATTTCAGATAGCTAATAATACACTTCGTACTGAAATCGATTTTATATTTTGTCTCTCTCAGAATCGTAATCTATTCAAGTAATCTGGATCCAGTTCACTAGCTAAGAGGAAATTAGATATCTACGGAGAAGTTAACACTAAATTATGAAAACTACGACCCCTCAAAGCCAAATTCCCACCAAATTTCTCCGATCTAAGCACAGAATCACTAAAATCTCCAAAATTCGAAAATAAAAGAAGATTCATCGAGATCACCTTGAATCGCTTGGAGATCCTGGTCTTCGAAGCCTCAACCTCCTTCAGAACCTCGGAGTGGGAGAGATCGAGGAACTTCTTGAGATCCTCGGTCTGAGAACTGGCCAGATCTCTCAGATCGGAGATCGTCGACGGCGTTTTCAAGCCGTTGGCGGGAGATCCAAGGGTTTTCATGGACGAGAAATCGAAGCCGAAGGGTTTGGAGAGCTTTGATGCTCGATCGGTCGGGGATGTTGGGAGAGGAGAGAGGAGAGCTCTCGCCTTTGATCACGCGTTCGTTTGATTTTTTTTTTGGGAATTTTGCATATATGGCCTTTGCATAACTTAATTTCGTACTTACCGTCTTGGAATTTTGCATATAAGGCCTTGGCAAACATCTAATAACAAGATCCTATAGTTTTCTAGTTGGTAATTATGTGATAAAAATCGGACAAATTTTCAAAACGAACCTGTTTGCCAAAAAATTCCTAAAAAAAACCGTTTTAAACTTAATTTTAAAAAACGATCCAGTTGGGCAAAATTTGGGTTGGTTTTTGAAAAAAAAAATTTCTCAAACTTCACGGGAGTTGAAGTCCCGTGAAGTTTTGTTATATAAAAAACTTCACGGGACTTCAACTCCCGTGAAGTTTGAAAACTTTTTTTCAAAAACCGACCTAATTTCAGCTGACCGAGTCTGTTTTTAAAATGAAGTTTGAAATAAGTCTGTTTTTGAGAATAAAAATCAAAACAAGTCTGTATTGAAAATTTGTCCGAGAAAAATCACGTACTAATTTAGAATCTAATTAAATCACGTATTATCTAGTGTCCTAATATCTAAAATTTTTGAAGCTTACCGAAAACAAGTACGTTGTGATTAACGCTTCAACAATATGTACATATGATCTCGAAAATATTTATGAATTAAGATGCTACCACTGTAAGAAATCTCAATTAAATTTTGGAAAGAGTTGAACTCCTCTTAAGGATACTTCTCAAATATCCTCCAGAAAGTCATCTCACTTTGATGTGATACAAACCGTCTCAATCATATCTGGGGAGCGTACTTAAATAATAATAATAAAAGAAATGATAGGGGCACACACTTGTACACACTACCAACCACACTCCCCCTCTATCTACAGTGCAGGGGCCCCACATGTGATTTTTTTAAAAAAAAATCACATGTGGGGTCCCTACACTGTAGATAGAGGGGAGTGTGGTTGGCGGTGTGCCCAATGGTGTGTCCCTAACACCCCTCTAATAATAATGCCTTTTGAAAAACTTAAACAAAAAAGTATGATCCATATTAATCACTGCATTTTTCGTTGATAAATATGACACATATTCATTCAACAAACTAAAACATTCAAAAATACACACCAAAACAAATTAAAACTAAAACATCCAAAAATACACACTAAAACAAATTAAAGCATATTGAAAGTATGGCAATAGTTATGCACAAGCATCTGTTAGTGAAAACCCATGGATTTGCTCCCACTGGGAAGCGCAGGGTACTACAGCACAATCTCTAAAGAAGTCCAAAGAGATTTAGAAATTGCAAAAAGGTTCAGCACTCCAACAACATTGTTGTACTGTTTCATATCCAGCAGAAGACGCATAAAACTTCACCCTTCATCCAGTAGACAATGCGCATACATTGGCCTTTGGTAAATGCAGTTATTATTGTATTTCACAAGCTAGACAATTTCTCATTTTAACAGTAAATTCACAGGGCTAGAGATGCAAATTGCACATAATTTCATAAATAAATCATATCCATATAAAAATCTAGATACATCTATAAAGTACTTAAGAAAATGATTCAAACACAGGCATGCGAACAAACCAAATATGACAACATTTTAGTTTAGGTCCAGAAAATCCTAAAGATCCTCAAGCAAATACTAGATGCACCCTACAAAATAAAAACAGTTGAAAATGGACTAACACAAACGTTTCATATTAACTCATATTGCACATAATGGAAATATCCAAACAACATCCTAAACAGAGTCACGATGCTATCGTGGAATATGAAGTTCCTCTTCAACAAACAAATAATTTAGAAGATAATTAGTTTCATAACTCCCACGCCCTTTGCCACAGAAAATTCAAGCATGAAGCCTCAAATTTCCTCTAATTTCCGTGCTCAGCTTGTGATCTTACAGTCTCCTTCAATTATCTGCATTGGAGATTTAAAACAGCAAGGAGTTAGAAACAATTCTATAACTAACTGCAATTCTACGGGTAGGTGTCGCAAAAAAAAAGGAACCTATCAGGAACTTTTCAGGGTGTTTGGCACAAAACTTTTTTTTTTAACTAGAACAAAATACCATTAGCTTTTTTCACGGAATTACCGTGTTTGGCAGCAGTTTGGGCATGATTTGAACAATTTTGCGCTTACGTACTTTGTAGGTTGATAGGTATAAATAAAGGATAGTAACCATTAGCAACAATTTTCAATAGTTAATGTAATTTTTCTGCAGAAATGTTTGCAGTAGTTTTCTCAAATAAAAGAAATTTTATGGTAGTTTTGTGCAAATCCCCCAGAGTTGGTGTTGGTTTTGTGAAATTTACTCTAGTTTTACAGCCCTCGAGGGTCAGAAGCTTACTATTAGTTGACCTAGATGCAGTGGTAGAGAAGTCAGAAGAAGCCATGGGGATAGACATCGATAGCTGAGTGTTGGAGAAAGATATCTGATTGGATCTCTCATCCTCAAGATCAGACCAGAGTTCCCTTGTCTTAGGCCACTCATCAAAGAAAGGTCGAAGAGAATTGGTCTCTTCTTTCACTGGCTGCAGCAAACCGAAATCACTTCCCAAGTAAGAAGACTGCTGCTGCTGGAGCTGAGAGTAGGAATGAGAGCTGTTTCTGGAATTGGAGAGCGAAAATGAGGAGTCTCGAGAGGTCCATGATGAGCTTAGAGAAGGGTCTACTCCCAGGCCTTTAATGCTTCCAGAAGCTTCAGGCGCAAAGCTGTGCATGTTCAGTTCAGTTTTTACTCCATTGAGGTACCTGCATTTTATATATATGTCAGTTGTATTTGGAAGAGAAATTGAACTTTTCGATATCATTTAGGCTTCATGAACAACCAACAAGCTTATAGTCATTACACCTAAATCTACATGAAACTGCTAGTTGGGAGTAAATATGTGTTATCATACATAAATCTACATAAAAAGTTGTTTCCAACTTGATAACACTGTCTCTGACAACAACAAACTTATCTCATTTCTCTAGTTGCAGTAACCAGATGAAGTTATGAATGACGAAGTTTCTAATATTTGACAACATGTTTTGGTGCACTAAGATTTTCAAAAATAAAACATTCATGCTGACTTGAAGCTGTGATGCGTAACTTCTAAATTAAAAGGGTCCATGGGAGAATGAACATAATTTTATGACCAGCTGTTATCCCACACCAAACATCTAACTGGTCAACATCATTTACAGCTTCTAACAAACTGTAACCAATGTCTTTTGCAATAACGCAAATCTTTTTTTTTTAAAAAGATAAAGAATTAGGTAAATTCAAGTTCCAAAGTGCAGAAGATATCGCTGAATTTATATTACACTCAAATTACTTAAGGAAGTTCTACTTCTTTTTGGTAGATATAACAAAAAGCATATCCCATAAAGTATTGCACATTTAAACAGATTTTCCTCCTATACCAGGAGAAACTTAAGTAACCAACAAGAGCACATAACCACAGACTGTTCTGCAAGCTTTCCAAACAGTGGTAACTAACTACTAAGAAAAAGAGTAACCTGTACAGAGTATCTAGCATTTAGCAAACTGGAAAAACCTCGGGGGTTACATACTGGCAGAAAACCTATAAAGCTCTTCAACCAACAGAAGAAATAATCTGAAACGACCAACTAACTAGTCACCCATAGATATAATCATTAACATGAAGGTCGACAAGCATGGCAACAGAGGTCGACCATCTCTGAGGACGGCCATCTTACACTTACCAAAACAAACTAGAAATAATGTAAATCAATATTTGTAAAATAAAATGAATGCGGAAGAAGAGCAACATTTAGACTCAGATAGTTCAACTTGTCGGATATAAAATATTTTAGATTTGAATTCTGTGTAAACCCTAAAACAACAGTACATATGATAAGATTGAGTACTATGCTAGATTCCTCCATTAATTGTATATACGATGAGAATGGAAGAGCAAACCTATAATCCTTGTTCCCTGTGCCATAAGCACCCAAGGTTGAAGCTTGAGCACTGCTACTACTTGACATGGAGTATGGTAGGGGACTATTCTGGACACTTCTACTGATTGTCCCGGTGGGATTGAGGGAAGTTACAGTCGATGAGGACGACTGCAACTGAGAGAGGGTTTGGGATTCCACAGGCTTTCTTGAACGGTTTTTTCCACGGTGCATATGCCGCTCGCAGTATTTTGAGTCAGGGTAGGCGTCCTTGGAGCACCTCCATTTCTTTCCATCCGTCCTCCGGCACCGCCCTGGTTCTGGATCCAACTTCTTTCCAAAATAGGAGCAGTAACTCACTACAATGAAAGAGGAAAAGCTTGTATTAATGTCGATAGAGGCTACTAAGGTTTAAGTCTTTTCCCCATCAATCTGGCAACGTGACAAATATTTAGAATTTGAACCAACAAGGACTTTAACAAATTGGTAAAAACAGGTACAAATTCATGAATATACGATCATTTTCCAATTAACCAACAACAACTAGAACCTTAGAAGTTAATAAGATTTCCCACAAAGTTTTCCTGGAAATAAATGATCATTGTATTCGAGATTGATTACTCATTGAAATAGGAGAACACTAATTATAAACCAAAAAAAAAGAAAAATCTCATACTACATGTTTCTATCAATTTTTTTCCCAGCTGGACGAACATCAACAGTACATATAAATAGAAACATTAATGTGCAAAATACAAGGATTCAACAACGATAGTGACATCATTTTCCTACATCTTCAGGGTCTATGTCGTTTGTAAACAACAGATTACCATATCCTATAATGATTCCTATGGATCATGGTTTTTTTTTGCCAAGTCTATCCCAAGTCCCAGCCACTCCTTATCATTCTTAATTTAACAAAATCACTGATCTACATTGAACATGTCCAAGCGATTTTCGCTCATTTTATCATCGAATGAAGCTACCTTCAATGTCACTACTTTCTTCAGATACACTAATTTCATATCGATATTTTTAATCCCTCACGAGATTTGACCAATAAGGTTTACACTCCTAAGTTCTAACTTTAGTATTTATTTAAGCTCCAATTCTTTAAGAAATACTGACCAAGTATAAAGTAGGAAAGCAAAATATACACATACAAAAAATGCCCCCAAAAAATCCACTAAAAAAATCTATAAAAGTAGCTAAAGCTAAACTATAAAACTGAGAAAAAGTCACTATAATATCTAAACTCTTCACAAATCACAAAATAAACCTACCAAATATCCAACAAAACATGCATCAAGACATAAACTAGCCCATATTTAATAACAACTTTAATAAACCCCTCTAAAATGCTACAAATTGCAGAGAGTGACTCAATTCAAAAAAAAAAACATTTAGGAGATTAAGCGATCAGATTTAGGGTTGAAACCCTAATCACAGTGGGTAAATAACAAACAGATCCAAAATAAATGGTGAGAAGAGGTTGAGGGTTTTACGGGCCGGGTTCGGGTAGAAGTAAGCGGGTAAGGATCCGAAGCTCCTCCGGATCGGAACGAGGAGATCGGGTGGAACTCCCGCCAGCAGATACTTTAAGATTAGCGCCTGGTGCTCCAGCTCTTGCCACTGCGCCGCCGTGAACGGTGACCGCAACATTTTGATGTTCGCTCACCGGCGGTGACCAGATCCGAGAGAGGGGGGGTATTAGGAGTAGGGAGTCGTTTACTTTTTTAGACCGGGGTAGGGTGCTCCGCGGGTGAGGATATGGTGCTTCGTTTGGCCATTTCTTGGGGGAAGAGGATGAGAGAGGGGGCGTTGGATGGAGATTTTTATAAAGGCGGTAGAACCCTGGGATGGGGGCAAATATTTTGTGGATAAATTGCATGCAAGCACATGTCTTTTTATTGTTTTGTATAGAGTCTTACTTTCAAGTGAATAAGCAAAATAATGCTGTTGTTCTATTGAATTAAGCAGAAAGTAAACAAAGCAAATGCTACAATATATTTTTTAATTCAATATTTGTCGATGTCGAATTCACCCAAACATGAAGCTCTTTTTGTCCTTTCTACTAGAATTAAAGATTCTCTATGAAACTATAGTCAATCTTATCAGAGTAATCTGCATATGAGCGAGTTGTTTTAATCCATACAATGAGAGTACATTTCTTATCAGAACATCATGTACGGTGCGAGACGTTCTGAGCCTCACAGATGCAGAGAACAATTACTACCCCCCATGGACATATGAGATCGCCCCCCTCACGTGGGTGTTCTGATAAGAAATGTACTCATACAATGAGACATTGGAATCGCCAACTATCATCATATTTCTCTCTATATGGATTGAATGAACGACATGCTCGCATGCGATTCTTGGAAATAGAATTTGTGCTTAGCAATAAAAGGGTTGTTTGTAGTTTGTAATGTCATTTTACTTGTTTCTTGAGTTATTTAATGCTGAGAACATAATATATTATTATTATTTAATGAGAGCACTGAGAAATTACTGAGAATGGAGTTGAGGGGAGTTGTAAATTGGTAGATGGGTAAGGGAGAAAATGCAAAAAGAAAAAAGAAAAAAAGAGTGACAGAGAGGGAAGAAGAGGATTGGGGCCCTCGAGAGGTCTGTCTTTGTCTGTGTCTGTATGTTTTGTTTTATGAGGCATCATGTGTTTTATTGTGTAAGTAATAAAGAATAATATATATATAATATATAATATTATATATATAATATATATAAATATATATAATATATATATATATATAAAGACTGTAATGGTGTATCATTGTCAAGGAGGAGATTTTCTCGCATTAATGCCTACATGTGGGCACAATTCTCCACCCATCCCATCATAAACGTATGAGAGAGTGTGTGATTTGTTAGGGCTGTTGGTTGTATGTTTTTACCATGTAAAAGGATGTAAAGTGTAAAAAAGTGGTCGCCAATGTCAGCTTTTCATCACTTTTAATTGTTTGTTTGAAGTGTGTGAAAATAGTGTAAAGTTATTTCATATGCTGAGTGCTGGTTTGTAAAGTGATTTCATGAAAAAAGACATGATTTTAGAGAAAGCTAACATTGAAGTTAGAAAAAATAATAAAAAATAATTCCAACCAATATGATCATTTGAGTAGGGACACTTTTTAACCTTTCCAAACAAACAATTAAAGTTTCATTTTGCAAACCAAACAAGTATTTTTATGATTCCAATGGAATAAAAACAAACAAAGAAAAAGTATAAAAAGTGAAATTGATGAGGTGGACACAACTTTCCAAGTTGTGTCATAAATACACAACTTACGAAGCAAAAACCAAACAGCCTTTTTTCATGAAATCACTTTACAAGCCACATCAGCATATGAAATCACTTTAGCAATATTTCACAACCTACAAACAACCAATTAAAAGTGATGAAAGCTGATATTGGGACCTACTTTTTTACACTTTCACATCCTTTTACATTGTAAAAACATACAACAAAAACAGCGCCCTCTAGTGGAGATTGTGACATAGGACACTCATCAATCCTCTCTCTTCTCTCTCACTGATCTCTCTCTCTCTCTACTCTATATATATATATATATATATAAATAATATATATATATATATATATATACTAGAGATGAGAGAGAGAGAGGAGAGAGAGAGAGACTCGAGAGACGAGAGAGAGAGAGAGAGAGATTAATGGGTGTCACATATGTCACAATTCTCACTAACATCACACCACACTCTCATACTTTATGAGGATGGCTGGAGATTGTGCCACATAGGCGTTAAAGGAGAGAAATCTCCTCCTTGACAAGGATAACCCATTAATCTTTTATATATATATATATATATTATATATATATAATATATATAATATAGTATATATTATATATATATATATATATATATATATATATATATATATATATATATATAATATATATATAGAGAGAGAGAGAGAGAGAGAGAGAGAAATATGGGTATGCTTGGTACCAGCACAAAATTTGTGCTTGTAGTGAGGTGGCACAACTCCCTCCACTCATTCAAAATGAGGGACCACATTCACCATGGGTTGAGGAGTGCATGGACGATATGCAATACTTTGAATAAGTGGAGGGGATTATTTCAGCGCTCACTACGCAAGAATAATTTTTTGCTGCTTGTTACAAAGCATACGCATTTTTCTCATATATATATATATATATATATATAATATATATATATATATATATATATATATATATAATATATATATATATTATACAAAATGAGAATGGTGGAGCTCAGATGCTTATGGTGAACTAGACTAATAGGCTACTTCGAAACGATGATCAACATTGTATGTAGAAAAAATTATGTTGTTTTGAAAATTTTTAATCACTGTAAGTATAGAAGGGCTGGTTATTAGCGTTAGAAATTAACATATCAAAACTAATTTGATTCATCATTCAGAAGATTCCAAATTATACGAAAATTTTACATAATTTTTGATGACGTGTTGAACAAAATGTACGGTGGCCGATTATGAATTTGATGCTCAGAGTAAGATTGAGCTCACCACTTACAAAATATATATATATATATATATAATATATATATATATATATATATATATATATAATATATATATAAATATATATATACTATATATATATAATATATATATATATATATATGGGGCAGAGCAGAGAGAGAGCAGAGAGAGAGAGAGAAGAGAGAGTTCTATTTTGTACACAATCTCACGACAGATAATTTTTCCTTGAGGCCAGTTGTTGACTATCATCAATTCTACAGTTTCAATTTTGTCATATCAGAGTGTGAAATAACTCCTTTCCTCCTTGTAATGAAATAGTTTTACCACTGAACTTTGTCTGCGAGAAAATTGTTCTAAATTAATGACACTGTAGATAAAGTCCAAACAAATAGGGAATATTACAAGGATTAATTAATTGATGGATATATAGAGGGCTACTAAAACCCAAGAAAAAGCCCATGGATGGTCCAGACCGACGACGGGAGCAACCTTCAGTATGCAGCAAACGGTCAGTGGATGTTTTGTACCTCTGTTCTTTACGAACCCCACATCTATCTCTTTACTTGAGTTGAGAGCTTTGAGCATCAAACACTACTGATATCAAGAGTTGGAACATTCTTAGCTGTACAGTTCAAAAACCTTTTCCTTTGAGTGATTTTTGCTGCGAGATTCGGATAGAAAGCAAAGATCTCTCTTTCTCCCTCTCATGTGATCGAGGTTGAGATCGATGGCCATCTGTAATTACAATCCAAATCCCCTAGTTTGATCATTCGGAATTATTCCGCATTTTATTCGCTGAGTCATTGAGATATACATATACTGAACAACAAAGGTACGTATATAAATACCTCCCATATTTCCTTTATTTCGAACTAATATTGCTGAGTAGATTCTGAATTTGTTTGCTCTTTCGGAACATCACACTAATGGCTATGATTTGGGTAGAACCCAAAAGCCATGACTTAGCTAGCACTCATAATAGAGATCACTAGGGGCCCCATTCCTTCACCTTTAATGCGATGAGCTTTGCTCCTCTTTGCTTCTTGTTCTTCGTTCACTAATACTCCTGGGCCCAAAACCACCTGCTGATTCTTTGGAGGGCAGCAAGATGCACGTGATCTTTTTTGTTGATGTAGTGGTTAGTAGCAGTTAAAAAGAGTGATTCGTGAAGGATATGGGCTCCATTATGGTCTCCGTATGAGGAGCAGGCGAGTGGTTTTCATTCTGGGGTTGCATTTGGTTTGTATAACTATATCAATATCCCATCTCGGATACGGATATAGATACATATATACCTCGACAAGGAAAATTCATATCCATATCTGCTAAAATCGGATACGGATACATATATATAAGCGGATATGCATGCATATACAAAACGGATATGAAAAAACTAGATAATATTGAAAAAATATAGTTCATGTGATACAAAAGAGTTCATTAATATGTTCATTATATCTGAAAAGCTAAGATTAGACATCTTGATCATCAAAATTAACCTCAAATCCATAATCTATGTTTTTAGATATTTCGGATACGGACCCGGATATTTCACTACGAAACCATATCTGTAATCATATTCTATCGGTTATAGGTTTGAGTAACCATATTTGTGTCCTAATAGATACGGTTTTACAGATATTTTCTCATATATGGATACGATTTAGCACCCTTATTTGATGCCCATCAAATACCCATTGGTATGTTAATGGCCATTGCTTGGCTATCAACACGCGAGAAAGTAAAAAATAAAATAAAAAGAGTGTTAATTTAGATGACAAGAATAAATTCTTTTTGTAGCTTATGTTGCGTGCACTGTTTGCTGTCGGTCTAAGATATGTGCAATAATGCCGCATAGAAATGGGGGTGATTTCCACCATAAATTTAAGAACTGAAATTCCCAAACTAACACTCCAAATCCAATCACCTGATCATCCCTTTCTATGGGGGTGTCTGATAGAATGTTTAATTCGGATAATGCTAGACATAACTACAATATCTCCACCACAAATTTTGATCAAACACCACACACTTCCAAAGAAAGTCAAATCGACAATTACAGAGGCAGGACAACTGCTCACAGGCACTCGAAGATTTTGCTGTAGTAACAAATAACAAAGGTGTAGCGTGCTATATTGCATGCGATGTGTAATGAATCGATACAAAGCCCGTTAACATGAAGAAAGGGTCGAACAAAAAGAAGCCCAATCGTCACATCTTCTTGAAGAATTTGTTCAGCGTTGCGTTACAGTTATAGTACATGAATGATTAAAGACCACCCTGTACAACTTCACAATAGAGCCACCAATC